ACAGAAACTAATCTTGCAACTGAAATCTTTAGATTTAGAATAACTTTATTGTCACTTTGAATGTAAACTAATCAGCATACATTAAAATGAAATTTCATTGCATACAGCGCCCTAAGGCTCTCCACCTTTGACAATACTATTGTTTTAATTGTGTCTCCTTCTTGCTATTACCTGTCCATTCTTTTCTAATAAGTTATTTTGTTCTGCTCATTCTACATTGACTTCATGTGCAGTCCAATCCAATCGCCTTACTTAGTCAAATCAGACCCACAACAAGAAGCTCCTTGTGACTATGTCTGCTCAAAATCAGTGACATGGTTTGTTGCTAGCTTGGCATGTAAAATGTAAATTAAGATAGGCTTAATTACAAACAAAATCAAACCAAACGCAGAAAATTCTTGCCACACCTTCAGGCAAGATAATATCACCCACTTTTCAGAATCTTTCAACTATTATGATACTCCTTCCCTGCCTCACATATTAGATGGGATTGCCGTAGTTGGAAAGGTTGCTTACCACCTCCCTATAGTAGGTCTCCTATAGTAGGTGGTAAGAAACATTTACATTAAACTTCGATTTCTTGATTGCTTATAAAATAACCCCCCCCCCACATACATATGTACGTACGTACATACATACATACATACATATATACATACATATGTGTCTCTGTGTGTGTGTATTTCAGAATCACCCCAGACACACCCCATACCCATGTTTCAGAAGCAATCAAGAAACACTTACACACACCCAACACATGTGTGTGGGTGTGTGTGGGTGTGTATTTTCCTATACTCCAATCATTTGCCCTTGAGTTGCCTTTTGCAATGAAAGCGGAAACTCAACATCAAAACCCTTCTAACTTGCAAGCTCTGCATGAGCTTTTTGCAATGTGTACATTTTCTGTTATATTAGTCACAGTGATTATGTGGTAGATGAATTCCTACTGAGCAAGTTATTGTTATGTTGTTTGTGGAGGGGGCCCCGGAAGTACAAGTCCTGCTGAAACCTCTTTGTCTCCTTAATCCAAACTATTTCAGATTCACTATTAAGTTAATTCCAATTTTCTGTGTTTGCCAAAGAACTACAAGCTTCCTTTTGTTAAGATCTACCAACAAGGCAGCTAGATTAATCCCAGATAAACCAAGCTCCTTAAAATGGGGATGTCTTTACCCCTGTCATAGAACACATGACTATTGTGTGACTGTCATCTTCTTTGTTTAATGGCATCAAAGATCAGGTAAGAACTGGCTGACTTCATATTTCACTTTGATGGCACTAAAGAAGGACCCACATTTCTAGTTGCTTTGGAAAAAGATATTTTCTGATGACTCCCAATCTTCTCTGTCACCAGGTCCTGGTGGGCTATTAGTTTTACTAGCAGTGTTAATAGCTAGAGTTGCCTGAACAATTCGAATTGAGGGTCCAATATGTTTGGAACCAGGGGTGGGATTCAAATTTTTTAACAACCGGTTCTGTGGGCATGGCTTGGTGGTCATGTCATTGGCTGGGCGTGGCCAAGTCAATATCACTCACATCGAGGCACGCATCTCCTCGCCTGGCGTCTCATGACTGTGGGGATGCTGCAACAGAATAAGTGTGAAAAATGGTAATAAGTCACTTTTTTCAGTGCCATTGTAACTGAATGGTCACTCCACACAAGCAAAGTACCAGCAAAGGAGGGGGGAAAAACTCCAGAGACAGGAAGTCTAGTCCTGCCAAGAATGTAATAAGGGTTAACCGAGAGGCAGTTTCTGTAAGCAACACCAGAATATTTCCTTCCTGCCTTCCTTACAGGATTAGGCCAGTAATTTCTTCTAACAACTGGTTCTCCGAACTGCTTAGAATGATAACAACCAGTTCTAGTGAATAGGTGTGAACTGGTAGAATCCCACCCCTGTCTGGAACCCTGGACAGAAGGGTGAAGTTCAGGGGGTTCCCAAGTACAGTTGCCCTGAAACAATGAATTCTCCTCTCCCAAATAAAGAATAAATGGGGAAAATATGGTCAATGATTAGGAAAGAGCTGGAGGATTCTTAGGGGGTATCTTATCCATTAAGGTTTGCTAACATTACAGGTGAAGAAACATAATGAAGTTCTCACTTCTTTCCCTCCAAAAAGAACTTCCTGCACTATGAAAAAAAGATGCAAGGTAGGAACGTACAATCATTATAAAAAGAAGACCCTGTTGTGTAAAGCCCCCTATGCAATTCCATGAATGAGGCAGGAGGATTGCATAATTAATCATCCTTCTGAAATATGCAAAGTGATTGTTTTTTACATCCATTTTTTTTTGTTTCATTAAACATTCAACTGCCTTGATTCTTCCATCGTTCTGCATTATTTCTAGGTTTATTTTCACCATCATGCCTTGCCTCTGATTGATGCAAGATCTTTTTAAAAACCTGTTGAAAGTGCTGGGTTAGAAGGAAGCAGGATGCTTGCAAAATAAATGACTTCTGGTAAGTTGCTTCTGCTAATAGGAGTATGTAGCCTGTTTGTTTTTCTTCTGGAGAGTTTTGCTCCGTGCTTATTAAAGAGGAATGTCTGGTCCTCCATCTCTTTGGGAGAAAGTTATGCTTCCACCTTAGAACAGGAGTCTCCAACCTTGGCAACTTTAAGACTTGTGAACTTCAACTCCCAGAGTTCCTCAGCCAGCAAAGACCACTAGCCTTAAAGTTGCCAAGGTTGGAGACCCCTGCTTAGAAGACATCTTCTCTATAAATGCTCAGAAGCCTTCCCTCCAACTTCCAACTTCTTTCCCCTGTAGTATTTTATTTCTTTCATATTACATATTCATGAAGCTTGAGATAATAGCAGATGTCTTGTTTTTGCCGCACAAAGAGCTTTGAAAGCCTCCTGGGATCCTAGGAAACTAAATTTAGAACTACAAGTATCATCTAGAGAAGAGGCACACACAGATCATCTTTCTCGCACTTCCCCTAGCAGGACAAGATAAGAGTACAACTGTTCCTACCCCAAATAATGAAGCTCTAAGTAAGATCGCTCTCTCGTGCACGTGCTCTCTCTTTCTCTCTCTCTCAGGTAATCATGAGTAATAATTAGAGAGGCCTCAGGGATATAGCTAATTATTGGTGGTATTTATTAAGTTTTCATTAAACAAATGTCATGATGAGCCAATCTTTTGCCCCAAGAGCCAAGGAGCTCTTTTGTTCCTCAAATATTGGTTTAGAGACAGATTATTCTGGAAAAAAAATGCAAAATGATTATTACTCTTGAAACATACATACTAATTTCAGAGTCTGGAGAGAGAAAATGGTGCAGACAAGAAAAAAAAGATAGAATCTCACAAAATCTGCTCGTTTTTGCTTCTGCCTATCAATTATCCACATACGATCTTGCATACAATTGCAGAGTGAAACTTTTTTTAAAAAAAACTAGGTTCAAAATAAGGAAGCATAATTTCTTCACAGCTAATTGTATCTGCTTTTCAAAATGACTTTTCCTTTGTTCCATATTCCAGTTATTATCAAACTTCTCGGAGGAATATAATTAAGACATGTTTTGAAAAGAAAAGTACAGTATATACTGATCTTTTAATTCAGACTGTTGCAACATCTTGAACAGTCGTGGTGGGTGAAGGAATAAACTCCTCTGATAGCAAAGAAATGTATTTTCAAATATATGGGCATAGAATCAAGCTGTAATCTTCTAAAGAAGCAGAGGTACATCTTATACGTAACATTGACTCCCCTTCAAGATATCCCTAGGGAATGAAATCTAAAGAGACTTTGTAAAAAATGTGTAAAATAAGGCCAACAAAAGGAGATAGGTTGCAAAAATGGGGACGAACAGAACAAGATTACCAGAGTTCCATGCACAAAAAATGTACAGAGGTTTAAGCGCAAATATTTTTTCATCAGATTTTTTCATTTTCAAAACTCCTGATGCATGTGTATGTTACAAACTGAAACAGAAGCAGCAGCATTAAAAGTGAATATTAGTGTCTGTACCACTGAATGTAAATGAAGGTGGTATTTGGGAGTGGGGATCAGAGTACATAGATTCCCCCAAAAAATGATAAAAGATTTTTAAAACCTGTAAAAGAGATTCAGATGTTTATCTCACAATGTATCAAACACAAAAGTTTTCCAGTTCAGCTATTGAGGTTATCAGCATTGTGGAAACTAGCACCCAAAGGCCTGGTTGGAGCCCTGTACAAGTCGATCCCAAATTTGGTTCCTAAAGTGAAATGATTTGTCAAGTGAATGTTGCCCCATTTTATTATCTTTTATGCCACAGTTGTTAAATGAATCACAGCATTTGTTAATAACCCAGTTGTTAAGTGAATCTGGCTTCCCCCATTTACTTTGCTTGTAAGGAGGTCGCAAAAGGGGACCACAGGACCCTGAGACACTGCAACTGTCATAAATATGAGTCAGCTGCCAAGCAGCCGAATTTTGACCATGTGGCCATGGGGATACTGCAATGGTCGTTAAGTGTGAAAAATGGTCATAAGTGCACACTGTAACTTTGAATTGTCACTAAATGGACTGTTGTAAGTCGAGCACTACCTGTGTATGATGCTGTTGATGAGACAATGTTATGATAGCCTGGTGTCATGCATATGAGCCCTAACCAAGTTTTTCTTTTATATTGTACCTTATGACTATTATTAAGTGTTGTACCTAACGATTCTTGACTCTTGATGAATGTCTCTTTTCTATTTTGTACACTGAAAGCATTTGCACCAAGACAAATTCCTTGTGTGTCCAATCACACTTGGCCAATAAAGAATTCTATTCTGTTCTGCTCTATTCTTTATTCCAATATTCTATTCTATTCTTTATTCCAATATTCTATTCTATTCTATTCTATTCTATTCTATTCTATTCTATTCTATTCTATTCTATTCTATTCTATTCTATTCCATTCCATTCCATTCCATTCCATTCTATTCTATATTCCAATATTCTATTCTATTTCTATTCTATATTGGCAAGGATCAACTTATTTAAGACTCACTAAAAAGAAAATGCCCATTACATCAAAAGATCTTTCCGCATGAAAACAGGGTCAGTTTATTGATCCGCTGATGAGCACCAAGATTGCATGCAGCTTTAAACTGTATGGTTTATTTAATAAACTTGGCAGGTTGTTTCTAGCAGACCAGTGGGACTTCGCCTTACGCCTGTTTGAATATGGGACTGTGGATGGAACTGGTGAGTCTGATTACTGTGGTCCTTTATCAGGCTCACTTGATGCTACCTCCTTCCCAGCTTCTTTGTCTGTCTCTCCAGGTTCCTTCCCTTCTTCATCTTCTCCTTCTTGGCCTTTCACTTCTTTTCTTGCTTTGTATCCTCGGAAAATGGACTGGATTTTTATAGCAGCTTGTTCTTCCGATAAGGTCCCTTCAATATCCACTACCGGTTGTTCTTCTTCCTTCTTTACGATTTAAAAGAAAATCAAGTTTACATTTCTCACCTTTGCATTTTGCCCACCGTGTTTCAAAAAGGGGTATACAGAGGGAAGGAAGAAAGGAAGGGAAAACAATTAAGCTACAATAAATGTAAATCAAGTTTGTACATATCAGCATACTTTAGAAGACTGATGCTGAAGTTAGGTGGGAAATAAGATGCATCTTGCTTTTTTAAAAAATTTTTTTAATAAACTTTATTAAATACAAAAAGTTAAAATATACAAATATACAAACTCAAAAGACAAAGATTCATACAAACAAATGTCACAATAATCTCTGTGCTAAAACTAATTAAACTTTCCTTGAATACATTTGACAGTTAAATATTTCCTAGATTACATTATGTAGCAGTTATTTCTTGTTTCCTATAGGTTCTCTGTTTGTTATATTCTATCAAACATAATGTTCTGTTATTAATGTTTATTGTTGGATTATATTTGTTTATTTTTACTGATAAATTCCTTCTATTGGTTAAGTAAAGAACAAGGGAATCCAGAACTAACATTATCAATTCCTCTCGGTTGTTGTATGTGTCATAATCCGTTTCATAAATTTGTTTCCCCCCCTTGATTCCCCTTTTCGTTTTTTTTTACGTTCCAACCAATCGTACCACTTATTCCGGATCGAGTAAAATTCCACCTCCTCTTTTCCTTTTAATTTTAATGTGAGAATATATCACCAATACAATTTATTATTCAAAAAGTCTGTGAATGTGCAGAAATGGAAAAACTCGCACCTTGCTTTTGTTCGGTTTTAAAATATATATTCTCCCCACTCCCTCCCAAAAAATCATTAGGCCTATAAACTCTGCAAATACCACTTGGACAATTTTTGCTCAGTTTTCAAGGAAAGTTTTATCTGGCATAAATGCCGAAATTAATGCTTAGATAAGACCAATGGTTTATCCAACAACAAAATTATCCCATTTGAAAAAAGGAAAATACCAATATAAAGATTCCCAGGGTATACTGGTCAAATTAACTGGTATCTGTTTTGTCCATTCACTGTCATGGACGCTCCCTGCTGAAGCTGAGCTGCATTACTTGTCTGGATAGCCAACAAAACTTCTTAGTGTTGTTTGGGGTGAAAAACGGGAAGAGGGAGCAGTATTTACATTGCCTGCACTGCTACAGCAAGGCTAATATAAATCATAAAAGATAATATAAACCTTACAACTAAATAAAAGTACAGGCTGCAATTTCACACTATCTATGTGTTTAGTTTTATTTATACAGAATGAGTGCAAAGGGTAAAAGAGACAAAGTTAAAATAGTTTTAAGTTGTGATAACGTCACTGGGTCAATTTAGCAGTGCTTAAGGCTACTAAAATATGCACAGGATTTTGCAATGTTCCTTGATAGTTAAAACTGGTGGGATTTAAAAAACAATTTAAACTCTGAGTGGGCACCTCTATTCTTTGTTCATACATATCTTTACTGGAAATTCATACAAAAAGGTGTTGCATTTTTAGCTATATGTTTTCTTTATTAAATCTAAGTTTAGAGTATGAGTAACTTAGAAGAGGCAATTTAAGTCTTCAGGGAATATGTGGGCATTTTTTTTATGATAAACAGTTTTGGAGATAATTTACTAATTTCAGTGATATAAACTCTTTCAATTATTTAACTTCAAATGGAAAAAATACGAATGGCCTTTATCGTTCTGACCCTTGTTGGATCCCATATAAAGTTAATGTTGGCCCCTATGAGAGTGGACAACCTCACTGCAACTTTTTAGGCATGCCAAAGTCAGCAACTATTATCCACAACAGAGGCTAGTTTAGAAAAGGTATGCAATTAATATCTGGAAAAATTACTTACTGGTTTTTCAGTAGTTTCTTCTTTCTTTTCCCTTTTCACTCCATCTCCTGGTGGTGCAAGTTCCTGAAAAAGCAGGAGGGTAGTATTGATGCACGAGAGATTATTGGTACAGATGATTCCCCACCCTCACCGAATTTTGATGCAAGCAAAACCCTAAAGACAAATAGTTGGAGTAGTAACTGAACACATGGTGACGAAATTGCTAAATGTATACCAAGCTCTCGTTAGATTCCATATAGAATCCATTGAAATGATGATGTAAAATGATGTTTATAGTAAGCCACTTCATAAGGAAATAAGTGATTCCAATCCTTTTTATGGGTATAGGTAAGCATGATGGAAGATTTTAATGCTATGGCAGTCATAGGATAAAGCTAGTGAATCTGAATTTCAATAGTAGGGGAAATTTTAGATTCCCACTCATCATTTTTCTAAATAAACTTTTCACAAATCATTTTTGTATGAATTAGTTATTGTAAGCTGCCCAGAGTTGCATGACAGCGAGATGAGCAGCAAATAAACTTAATAAATAATCCACATTCCTTTGAAAATGTCAATGATCCTAATTAACCTCGTGGCTATTATTTTTAATCAGGATTTTAATCTCCTATATTTTGTTTAGTTTCATTCAAAGGCCTGCGTGTCAAAGGGGTGGGGAATTGTTCATTATATAATACCGGTAAAACTTACATTGAAAGCATGGTTATTGTAGAATCGATCCTCTAGTTTTGCTCCCCATTCAGTTGGATCATATCCGGTTTCTGAAAAGACATGAGTTTTTTTTTTTTTTGTAAAAATAAATACTGACTTCTCTTTAAAAAAATAAAAGCTTCCTGGTCAAATGGTGCTTAATCAAATTGGGAATCATAATGACACTGACATTCCTTTAAGAACAGTCGTGATTTCTTAACTGAAAAAAGGTAAACACGCACATGTAGCTCAGTTATGCGTAATAAAGAGGAAAAAACAGAGCCTAGGACAATTGGCCCTGGCCATCTCTCTGTGGCCAACACATCACCTGACAATTCAAGACAGAATAACTCAAGAGAGCGCACAATTAAATTTCTAGGACTCCAAGCTCTGGCTCACCCCAGCCTCGAGGACTTTTAATTTGAAAAGGTTCAAACCTAAAGCAAGACAAGGTCTGCTGAAATTCACTTTTTCCATTGTTGAATAGTCCCACAGGGAGTTAGCCATGGCAAGGAGACTGTGGCAAGTCAGCCAAGACCAGTCGGCCATGGAGAGTTGTCTCATTCCAAACATAGGTCAAAATTAAAACACCCCCCCCCCAAAAAAAATTAAATGCTTGAATGAGTGATATATATATATTGTAAAAAAGATAACCCAAACCTACCAATCTGAGCATAACAGAAAGAAGGCCCTGAGCTTTTGAGAATAGCCCCATTCAGAACCTACATAGTGGCTAAACTGGATGGTGCAAAAACATTCCTGAAAAAGAAAAATGCCAAAAATGGACACCTAAATGAGTAAATAATGGTTTCTTGCAAACCAGATGAAGTCCAAAAATGCAAATGTACATTAAAAACCTTAATATAGTCAATTGAAACTTACTTTCTCTTTGAATAAGGAGAGATTCAAAATACTTGGCTGCAAAAGTTGGTATATCATCAGGCTGGTTTCTTAAGACTTCCCTGGCGAGCCCTTCAAGCAGATTGGCAAATCCTGGAGGAATGCGTTGAGTGGTGTTTGAGAACGGAATAGCCATTATTTCTGAAAAAGTTTCTTTTATACCTAGAGTTCAATTTACAATTAGTGAGACTTATAATCTAAATAAGACATTTAAATGTTGGATAAAAAAGTTATGGTAAAGGTTTCCCCTGTCCAGATGTGTCTGACTAGGGGGCGTTGCTCATCTCTGTTTCTAAGCTAAGGGAGCCAGCATTGTCCGAAAATGCTATATATGAGCCCAATCCACCTAACAATGCGGTGTAGTGGCAAAAATATGAGGAGGGAGGAGTATTATGTATCTTTGCCGTCTTGAGTTACTAAAGGCAGAATAAAAAATGAATAAATAAATCTGGATGTCAAGCTCACGCCATTTAATCTTTTTTTTTAATTACTGCAAAGTATCTGATTGTAACAACATTTTAAACAAGGAATTGCTTTGTTCTGAATCAGACTACTCGTCCACTTATCTCTATATCACCCAATCCAATTTGAAACATAATTAAACTCAGGAATATAGAGAATTCACTAAGTTTTTTAAAAAAAATTGACTCTCACGTAGAGATAAACGTGTATTTGCTATTGCACACCTGTTCAAGTTTAAGTTTTACAGTTGGGGTGTCCATCCAACCTTGGCAATTTGAAGACTTGTGGATTTCAACTCCCAGAATTCTCTATGGGGGAATGGCTGGCTGGGGAATTCTGGGAGTTGAAATCTACAGGTATTGAAGTCACTATGATTGGACATCCCTACTTTACAGTATTTTACTTCGCCCTTCTTAGCAACATTTACTATTGAACAGGTGCACCAGATTTCCTGTGAAAAACGTGGCACACAAAGCAGGGCTACAAAACAGGAGGCTGCTTAAGACACAGAAGCAAGAAGCCCTTGCCCAGAATTCCCGGCCACGCTTGCTGGGAACGATGGGGGCTGTATTCCTGTACCTCTAAAAGTCGGGGAAGGGAGCAATAATGGAAGCCTCTTCCTCACGGGGCAAAATGCAGGCACCCTTCGACTTATGACCACAATTGAACCCAACATTTCTGTTGCTAAGGGAGACCTTTGTGAAGTGAGTTTCACCCCATTTTACCACCTTCCTTGCTACAGTTGTTAAGTGAATCACTGCAGTTGTTAAGTTATTAATGTGAGTGTGAAATGAATCTTCCCCACTGACTTTGCAAAGGGATCACATGACCCACCGTCATAAGTATGAGACAGTTGCTAAGAGCCAGGATGTTGACCATATGACCATAGAGATGCTACAACGGTAGTAACTGTGAAAAATGGTCATAAGTCACTTTTGTCAGTGCCGCTGTAACTTCGAACGGTCACTAAACAAACTGTTGTAAGTCGAGGGCTACCTGAACTCTGCCCATGCTCAAAGGCGCTCTTGTTCTGATGCAGCTAGGTTCCTGGCCTGCCTGCGCCTCTCCCTTCCCAGCTATCAACACGGGGGGGGAGGCGATGAGAGCCTTCACGCCGCCGCCCCGTCCTCTTCAGCTCCCCGGCCCGTCAGGAGGATCCTTCCCAAGCCTCCTTTTACCCTTTTACTCCTTTGCCCGCAAGGACAGAGGCCAGCGTCCTTCCCGTTGCTTAGCAACTCCAATTAAGACGGCAAGCGGGGAGATCCAATAGAGCGGGAAATCGCGCAGTTGGCTTCTCAGGTCGGCCCATCTCGCTTGCTGATTGGCTGAAAGCTCCGCCCTTCAACGACCAAACCTCCCCCTTTGAAGCCCGCCTCCAACTAAAATCTCGTCCCGCCCCGGTGCCTCAAGCGCGGTTGGCTTCTCCTTGGTCGGCCCACTCCGCCTGCCGATTGGCTGCGAGCTCCGCCTTTCAGCGGCCAAACCTTTCCCCAGCCCCCTTGAGCCCGCCCCCAATTAAAATCTGGCCTCGCCTCACCGCGTTCTCGGTTCCGATTTTGGGGCGCCGGTGAAGGAGGCGGTGGCGTGGCCGAGGTTTTAAAGTCCAAGCGGGGAGCCTGCGCTCCTAGTACGTCTTCTCCGGGCCCATGGAGTTGGGACTCTGCGGGCAGGGCGGGCCTGAGGCCGCGCTTTAGACGGGCCCCGGGGCGGTGGCGTCACAGAGGAGGCCTCGGTGACGTCACACACCGGGCCTCTCCGCAACCTGGCGGGGTCTGATGGGAGGGACGCCGCCCGGGTTCAGCTGCTGGGACAGGTCTTCCATCCCCCCCCCCCCCCCGTGGCTTTGCAGATGGGGTAGGCCGCGGGGGCGGGGGGGTGCGCCCCGAGGGCCACGCATTATGGACTTCGTAATACTTGCAATATGGTTTTTGCAGTACAATGGCCATCTTGGGTTTTCTTGTATTTTAAAATTTGCCCTTTTCAAAGCCTCGTGGAGGTTTTTTTTGCCCCGCCTAAAACCTTAACCTTCAAGAAAAGCCTCCCTTTTAGAAACCAGGAGTGGCAAGAGAGATTTACCTACATTGCTTTTGTAGGTAACAAGTTTCATTTTCAGCTGTTCTGAGCCTCCATGAACCAAAAAAGAAAAAAGAAAAGCAAGTATTGAGGCTCAGCAATGGGAAGTGTTGAGAATGTACCTTTACCTATATCCATTCCGACATTTTTCTTTGCAAGTGTTTCTTTTGCTTTTATCCAGAGTGCAATGCTCCTTTCGATCTCAATTGCTCACATGCGATTTAATTCTTAGGATATAACCACTAGACAGGACTTCCCTATCCAATCAAAAACCCTTTATGTAATGTTATAAAAAGAGAAGATGTGATTTTTCCCCTTTGTTCTCTCTCTCTTTTGAAATCAATAAGAGAACCCTTTTTAGGTGAAATGCTTCAAATAAATCGCAAATCAATGTTTCTGGAGGGGGGGGCACCATGTTGCAGAAGGAGATATTAAAAGCAGATATTAGAATCCAGACCCGAGGCTGGATTCTCCCATCAAGGCACCACAGCATATCCTTGCATGCTGTGGGAATCCCTTTTTCATTTCCCTATTAAGCTGCTGGGTGGATTTAGCTGCTTGAGGCTCTTTTTTATATAAAAAAAATATTTTATATGAAAATTAAAACGCAAACTCCAAAGGAAAAAAAGTGTTTTTTCCTCTGCCGTTTGTATTTTTATTTTTTGAATAGTTCCAACAACACACGGTTTGTCATTATGTATGAACCTATCATATGACCAAAATTTCCACTGCTAATGTGTGTCATTATAAACCCAACATTGCAGATAATAGTGTACTTTCCTGGCCAAAAATGAATGGTCTTTCTCACTATCCTAAGCACCAGCATAAAAATAATCTGCTATGGCTTTTGCCTGGGATGTATTTTTTGCTTCCCAATCTATCCAGCACTCCTGGTGTGTCCTAGTGGTTCCCAAATGAGTTTGCACACATGCACTCTCTTGAAAGGCTTAGCTGAGCTTTCAGCATACTATACAAACCATTCTTTGGTAGTAGAAAGGGTAAAGCTTTCCAGAGGGGTGTCAAGGTAAAGTTGCAAAGAAGAAATGGGGCAGGAGGCAAAGGCTGGCTGGTTTACACACGAAAGCATTGAGTGGTTTATGTGAATTGTATGCAACTTGATTACCAAGGCTGAGTGAACCTTTTTAATTGCCCCTCAATTTACTAAGCCCAAATTCTGGATTTGTAGAGTTACAAGTGCCAATAAGTTGTAGAGTTACAAGTGCCACTGAGATAAATTGGAATCCAGAAGAATTTCTCAGGAGATACTGGGAAACATTCAGCTGTTTTGCCATCCTTACAGCCTTTTTTCGTTCTGTTTTTTTGCTTCAGAGGTATTTTTCTTCAAATTCAGGAAGCACATTTTCAGAAGAGCCCTGTAGGTCAGATTTAGGATACAGTCAAATAGCCTTTTCTATCTCAGCCTAACACTTGAAATTGTCTGGAGCATTATTAAGGATTGATGTCTTCTTGGTGGTGACAAGATTGCCATACCTATAAACAGCTATGTTACTTTCCCCCTACCAGCCCTATGTTACTTCCTGGCTTGGATCAGCCCAGTGTGAGGTCACAAGGAGATTGATGTCTTTAAGATACAGACTCCTGACATTCTCTGCTCCCAGAATTGCATCCTCTGACTTTCTGACTTCATGTTATCAAAAAAGACGATGGAGGCTTCCTTGCTATTCATGTTGCTCTTGGCTTGCACAGCAGGTGAGTGAGAAGAGGCAGTTCCTGCCACTATGTGTTGAATGACCACTACTGGCCAGGCAAACACAATCTGGAGAAAACAGTACCTGTTGAAAATACAATAGCAGCATTTAGCTGGTAGGAATTTGTTTCTCTTCCATGATGCTAAGCTTCCACCAGAGCAGAGGTGGTATTCAGCAGGTTCTGACCAGTTCTGGAGAACCAATAGCGGAAATTTTGAGTAGTACAGAGAACCGGCCAATCCCACCTCTGACTGGCCCCGCTCCCATCTATTCTCTGCCTCCAGAGTCCCAGCTGATTGTCTGGGTCTTCTTTGGTTGCCCTGCAAAGAAGAAGGGAGCTGGAAAGCAGGTTAGTGGGGTGGGGAGGGAATGGAGATTTTGCAGTATCCCTTGCCATGCCCACAAAGCCAGGCCACGCCCACAGAACTAGTAGTAAAAATATTTGAATCCCACTTCTGCACCAGATGCTTTTTATATTGTACATACTAAGCTTCCTTGAGCAAAATCCTGAACACAGTTTGGTTTAGCGTTTGGTGAGGATAAATCAGATAATTAGCTCATCTCAGTAGAGGAATGACATTAAACATATTTACAAAGAAAGTCCCTTGAGTTTGATGCCCCAACAGAATTTACTCCTGGGTGTATTCAGGATTGCATCTTTTAAGAGTTTTGTCAACAGTTGCTTAGGTTTGTTGCACCTTTGATAAAGGGTTTATTTTCTTACAATTTTCTCATAGACTTTTCCAATTTTCAACTTTACATTGTATCCTGAAAAGCAGCATGCAATTGTTCCTACTACTCAACAGTACAAGGAAACACTACTTGCTTGCCATCCTGTCTTAGTTCGGCTTCTGTTTCTTATATTGCATGTCTACTGTGGCCTATATTCTGTAGCTTCTGCAAATGTTATAGTAGAGTATGAAACAAACTCATTTAAATATTAAACTAATTCTTGCTAACAGAGGTTCAAATGACAAGAGAAATATAATGGCTGTTGGATTAATTTAAATGTTTACCTTCCAGCATTTATTAATCTATATTTCTAATAGCCCTCTTAAAAAGTAGCCAAGGTAGCCCAAATAAAATATAAGAGGACCGATTCCTTCAGTCATTCAGTGTTAGGGATGCTATATATGTATGTATTGGTGACTTTTAAGTAAATAAGTATAGGGTTGCCATGGCTGTAAGAGAAGGAGGGTTTTTAATTTTTTTTATGGCTTTGCTCATACAATATGCTGAGCCAAGTTATTTAAAGACTTAACAGCTGGGTTTGTACAAGATGCTAGACTAGACTAAAACAAGGTGTTTGTGTTCGGGACATTATTAAAACCTAGGCATGTTACATGTTAGTTAATTGAGCAATCACATTAAGCTATATTTGCTTAGGCATTGTGATAGGAGTACACAGGAACTGTATTTGATTAAGCTGGGTTCAGTATAGCTGATTAAGCTTCATTCAGTATTGAATGAAGACAACAATGCACTATTTAAATCCATACAAATGATGGCAAGAAGGCAAAGTGGCCTCTGTTTTTCTCCTGCAGTGGGGAGGGAATCAGGGACAGGCTGTAGATTCAGTCTCCCCCCTACTCACAAAGTGACACATGGCAGAAATGGTCTTTTCTCAGAGAATTGGGCTAAAAAAACTGTTCACACATAAAGATACACATATTTTTATGTCACGCTTTCCTAAAAACTAATGCTATAACAGTGGAATTCCAAAGATCATACTGGATAGGGAAATCGGAGATTGTATGAATGTATGTATGGTGGGGACAGCAGCAGAAAATGGCTCCAGTTGAAAAAAAATAGGAAAAACATGATCATGTGAAAGAGAACAACAGTGAAGGTGGTTGTGTAATCTTGAAAGGTTTTTTTAATGCATCTGAGATGTATTCTTTCTTTCTCAGTAATATGCTTCCTTGACAATCTCTAACGAATTGGCAGCTATTTTTGCCGTTCAAAAATGTCTTAAGAATTGAATGGTTGTAGCCCAGCACAAGCATTACTGGAGTATTTTTGAGAAGCTGAAGCTGTAAACCTGATTGTTGTGCCCTTTTGTTTGCCTCAGGTGCTAAGTTTCACTTTGCTTCCTATTATGCTGATCACATGGTGCTCCAGAAGGAACCATCTCATGCTATCATATGGGGCTTTGGAGATCCTGGTTCTAAGGTGATGCTGACACTCTCCCAGAATCATAACATTGTGACCAAAATGGTACAGATTGAAGGTAATCCATGATATTAACAATGTGTACATAGCTTCCTTCTCCCAATGCCTCACGCATATGTAGAGTAATAGAGTTAGAAGTGATCTTGGAGATCTAGTCCAACCTCCTGCCTGTAGCAGGAGACAAATGCTGGACAAATAGCTGTCTGGTCTCTTAAAGATCTCCAGTGGTGGAGCACCCACAACGTCCAGGTAAGCTGTTCCACTGATTAATTATTCTCATGGTCAGGAAATTTCTCCTTAGCTCTTGGTTGGATCACTTTAATGATCCTCCATCTGCTACTTCTTGTCCTGCCCTCAGTGCTTTGGAGAATAGGTTAATCCCCTTTTCTGTGACCCTCAGTTACTGGAAGACTGCTCTCATAGCATTCCTAGTCCTTATTTCATTAGACTAGACATACCTGGTTGGGAATGTTAGTTGCCAAAATGAGGCTTCCATCTAGGATCATCTTGGACTTGATTCCACTCCTCTATGGGAGGCTGTATATTTCCTTCTTACATTTCAGGCTATCAGGTTTAACTGCTGCTCTGTGCAGGAATCCAAATAAAGTTACGATTGTGGCACCTGAGTGAAGAGAACTGCTCTACCAAATGTTCAGCAGGATGCCAGGGAGAAAAAATATGGCAATAAATCGTCAGTTTCCTACAAGAAAGTTGAACTTTGGTTATAATACAATAAAAAAACTGTCAGAGGTTTGGTTGATTTT